CCAGGGAGAATGAGGAGAGAGTTTCAAAGGATGCTTCAATGGGAAAGAGACAGGCAATGTTAAGGTTTTTCCCAGACCTACTAAATCAAAGATGAAAATATGTTCCTGGAAGGTTGGCAGGCAGTAAACAGAATGACACTTCTCTTAACAGACTAATGTGGATCTATCTGCAAGGTTGGCATGTGTCTGTAGTCCCGGTTACTCGGGAGGCTGAGGTTGGAGGATCGCTTGAACCCAGGGGTTTGAGGTTACTGTAAGCTGTGATTGCACCACTGCACTCCAGCCTGAGTGACAGAATGAGACCCCGTCTCTAAAAGTAAAAGTTTAAAAGGGCCAGGCACGGTGGCTCATACCTGTAATCCCAACACTTTGGGAGGCCAAGGCAGGCAGATCACAAGCCCAGGTGTTCGACACCAGCCTGGGTGACGTGACAAAACCCCATCTCTACAAAAAATACAAAAATTTGATAGGTGTGGTGGCACATGCCTGTAGCCCCAGCTACTCAGGAGGCTGAGGAGGGAAGACCACCTGGGCCTGGGAGGTGGAGGCTGCAGTGAGCCAAGATCGCACCACTGCATTCCAGACTGGGTGATGAAATAAGATCCCCCTATCTCTAAAACTAAAAATTAAAAGAGGCCAGGTGCAGTGGTTCATGCCTGTAATCCCAGTACTTTGGGAGGCCAAGGTAGGCAGATCACTTGAGCCCAAGAGTTCAAGACCAGCCTGGGTAACATGATGAAACCCCATCTCTATAAAAACTACAAAAATTAGCCAGGCATGGTGGTGCATGCCTGTAGTCCCAGCTACTGGGGAGTCTGAGGTGGGAAGATCACCTGAGCCTGGGAGGTCGAGGATGCAGTGCACAGGGATCACACCACTGCATTCCAGGCTGGGTGACAGAACAAGACCCTGTCTCAAAAAACACAATTAAATTAAAAGAAAGGTTGTATTTGTTCCCTACTGCTAGGTACCAAATGACTCCCCAGCCTAGGGGCTTAAAGTCGCAATGAACAGTTTCTGTGGTCCAGGAATTCAGGAATGGCTTAGCTGGGTGGCTCTGGCTCAGAGCCTCTCATGAGGTTGCAGTCACAATGCTACTGGCCAGGGCTACAGTCATCTGAAGGCTCAACAGGGGCTGATGGATCTGCTTCCAAGATGGCTCACTCACATGGCTGATGAACTGGTGCTGGTGCTGGCAGGAGGCCTCAGTTCCTCATCCTGCAGACCTCTCCCCAGGGCTGCCTGAGTGTCCTCACAGCATGGTGACTGGCCTCCCCCAGAATGAGTGATCCTAGAGGGAGCCCCATGGGCCACTGTGTCTCATGACCTAACCTCAGAAGTCACACACTGTTACTATTTCCACAAAGTCCTAGTGCAGTGAGCCCTATCCAGTGTGGGAGGGGATATTCATGAAGGCAGGGGTTCCTGGGAACCATCTGAGGCTGGCATCCCCAAGACAAAGAAAGTATAAACATGAAGTTCTCAGCAGTATGTTTCATTCACAAAGATTTGTGGAAGCTTTTTAAAGGCCCCCCAATTACATAACACACGATAGCTGATACGGTTTGGATCTGTGTCCCCACCAAATCTCATGTCGAATTGTAATCCCCAGGGTTGGAGGTGGGGCCTGATGGGAGGTGATCGGATCATGGGGGCAGAGTTTTCATGAATGATTTAGCACCATCCCCCCTGGTGCTGTATAATGAGTGAGTTCTCACAAGATCTGGTTAAGGGTGTGGCACCTCCCTGCTCTCTCTCTTCCTCCTGCTCCAGCCGCGTGAAGTGCTGGCTTCCCCTTCACCTTCCACCACGATTTTAAGTTTCCTGAGGCCGCCCCAGAAGCCAAGCAGATGCCAGCATCCTGCTTCCTGTCCACCCTGTGGAATCGTGAGCCAAATGTCTCTTCTTTATCAATTATGCAGTCTCAGGTATTCCTTTATAGCAGTGCAAGAATGGACTAATACAAAATCTATGTGCTTATACTTTCGTAGAACAACTCTGGAAGAATGTACTTTTCATGAACTTTTTGAATCTCACATTTTTCTCCTCTTCTAATAAATATACATTTTAAAAATAATTATCAGATAATCAAAAGGAGTGTCCATGGAGTTTGGAAAGAAGTTTTTTCATATATCCAAACCACAAATATTTGTGAAGCTCCTGCTGTGCGCCAGGCTTTGTTCTTGGCACTGGAAATGGTGAAGGGAACAGAGCTTCACCACCCTCATGGGCTGGGTTCTTTTCCTAGGGCTGCCATAACAAAATGCCACTGATGGAGTCACATAAGCAAGAGAAATGTATTGTCTCACCATTCTGGGGGCTAGAAGTTTGAAATCAAGGTGTCAGCTGGGCCAGTTATGTTGAGGGCTGTGAGGGGAGGGCTTGTTGCAGGCTGGCTTCTTAACTTGCGGACAGCCGTCTTCACATTCAAGTGGCATCCTTGCCATATGTACGAGTGCCCACATTTCCCCTTTTTATAAGGACACCAGTCTATTGGATTAGGCCCTACCCTAATGACCTCATTTTAATGTGGGTTCCTTTGTAAAGACCATTTCTTCAAATAAGGTCACATTCTGTGATGTTGAGGGGGTTGGGAATTCAACACAGGAATTTTCAGAGAGGGGACACAATTTAACTCGTAACCTGAGTGAGGGAGATGATAAGCAAAGGGGTCTGTAATACCCGAGGAGCCGAGGGAGATGGAGAGGGAGAAAGCAGCCCGGGGGAGGTCCACGATGGGCAAAGAAAGGGGTGGCCTGTAGGTAGAAAGTGGAGGGGGGCGGGGAGCAGAAGAAGCGGACAGAGGGTGGAGAGTCACCAGGAGACACTGAGCAGGGAATCCGGGGTGGTGGCTGGAGGGAAACCTGGGATCAAGAGGGAGTCTTATCTGATTTTATGATGAAAAATCTTGTAAGCTGAAAAGACAAAAACAAAAATCAGAAAAGGAGGGCAAGGCCGCAGGTGGAGGGACAGGCCTCTTCTGGGTGCGGAGAGGAAGAGAGAGAGGGAGGAGAGGCAGGTGTGTGTTCATGGTGTGGGGTAGGAGACCTGCTGGGTGAGGAGGTGCCAGGCTGCAAGGGCCCTGAGGAGGGAGAAGGCTCAGGGTTTGGCTGAGGGACACAGGAAGCTTGCAGGAAGTGGGGGCTCCCAGCCCTCTCTCAGCCGCCAGACCTCCCTCCCAATCCCCAACCCACCCTGGCAGCTTCTGTCCTTCCGTTTACTTCCCATCTCTCCCAGGGCCCCTCCTACCGCCTGTGGGTCTGTCCCTCCCCACAGCTGTCCTGCTGATCAATGGATGCTGTGTTCTCTCTGGCTCCCTTCCACGTGTCCCCGCCTCGCAGGGGCCATGGCCTCACCCAGGGGGTGCACAGGCCTGTGGTCAAAGCAATCTCCATCTGGCCACAGGGAAGTTCCGCCTCCACATCTATGACAATATTTGAAATTCTTCAGAAGTTGCATTTTATGTTATCACACCCATTGGGTCCTGCCCACCTTTTGAAAACCCTCCAGGGACCCCCGACTGCTCAGAGAACAAAACCCAGACACTTTAAAGTGACCTCCAAGGCTCTGCATGCTTCAGCTTCTGCATTGCTTTGTAGCAACTTTTTATCTTGAAATAATTTTAGATTGACAGAAGAGTTGCAAAGACAGTACGAAAAATTCCAGTATACCTTTTCTCCGGTTCCCCTCATGTTAACATCTTACAACACCATAGCACATTTATCAAAACTAAGACATTAACATTGGTACAATGACGTGTTACTTTTGTAGGAAATGAAAGTAATTATGGATTTTTTTCGTTTTGATTGTGGAACATGCCATAGAGACAAAGGCACATATGTACAGTCTGAAGAAAAACAATAAATACCCTTGAGCTCACTAATACATTTAAGAAATAGAATATTACTGTTACCCCTGACACTCTGCATGCTCCTTCCTGATCAAACCCCCCTGCCTCAGTGATTGAAGTAGGAATGTTAATTTATGGGGGTGATTGATGACAGAGAGAGAAAGAAGAATTCATTACTTACAATTCCAAGACAAAGCATCACACAGTGCCACAGAGGGCCACGGGGGCAGCACCAGGAGGCCGTGCAGATGCCTGCGTCATGCTTCCTGTGCACCCTGTAGAGTGTACACCCTTGGGTGAGGAGGTAGAAGCAGGGGCAAAGACAGCACCAGGTCAGAGGCTTTATTGGAGTTTCCAGGAGAAAGGCAAGGCAAGGCAGACTAAACATCGTGCTCTCAGAACGGTGCACAATTTAAAACTTATGAATTGTTTATTTCTGGAACTTTTCATTTATTTTCAGACCGAGGTTGACCGCGGGTAACTGAAACCACAGAAAGTGGAACTGCAGATAAGCAGGGCTGCTGTATAGTATATGATCGTCTTCATGTTACAATGTTTCTATTTTCTTTTTTGAGACAGAGTCTTGCTCTGTCGCCTAGGCTGGAGTGCAGTGGTGCAATCTCAGCTCACCTTAACCTCCGCCTCCTGGGTTCATGCGATTCTCCTGCCTCAGCCTCCTGAGTAGCTGGGATTACAGGTGTGAGCCACCAAACCCAGCTAATTTTTGTATTTTTAGTAGAGATGGGATTTCATCATGTTGGCCAGGCTGGTCTTGAACTCCTGACTTCAAATGATCCGCCGGCCTCGGCTTCCCAAAGTACTGGGATTACAGGCGTGAGCCACTGCGCCCAGCCAATGTTTCTATGTTCGATTGTTAATGGCTATCTGATTTCTCTCCAGGTGCACAATGCTTCTTTGAGTATCTCCGTATCTGTGCCTGATATCCAGATGCAAGGCTTCTTCTGGGCATCCCTGGGATTGGGAGTGCATAGACATGCATGGTCAAATTACAGCACAGCCTGTACACTTTTACTGAAGATGGTGAAGATGGAAACCTGTTTTCCAAAGTTTACATGTTCACCAGCTCCCTCCAGACCCTCATCTGCCTTTGGTGCTGTCTGGCTTTGTTTGTTTGTTTATTTATTTATAGAGATGGGACCTCCCTATGTTGCCCAGGCTGGTCTCAAACTCCTGGACCCAAGTCATCCTCCAAAAGTGCTGGGATTACAAGTGTGAGCCAACATGCCTAGCCTGACTTTAAAATTTTTGCCAATCCAGTGGGTATGTAATGATATCTCAGTGAGTCTTAATCTGCACTTCTTTGATTGATAATGAGATTGAGCATTTTTTTCATGTTTTTAAATCATTTATGCTTCTTTTGTGAAATTCCTGTTCTTTTGTTGCCCAATTTCTATTGTGTTATTTATTAATCTTTTTCTTATTGTTCATAGGCGTTTTTCTATATTATGGATGCTGCTCTTCGGTTAGTCACATGTGTTGCAAATCTTGCAAATTGTGACTCATCTTTTCATTCTCTGAATGGGGTCTTTTCATAACAGGGTCCTCTAAATTTTAATGTAGTCAAATTTGTCAACTATTTTCTTTATGGGTTAAACTTTTTAATCTCATGTTTTTTAAGTTTCATTAAAGAATCTTTTCATAAAGATGCTCTCCTATATTTTATTATAAAGTTGTAAAGTTTTACCATTTATATTTGAATCCTTAATCCATCTGGAATGGATTTTTAATGTGTGGGATGACATAAGGAATCATTTTCATTTTCTTCCACATGAATAGTGAGTTATTCTGGCACCATTTCCTGGGAAGACCATCCTTTTCTTCTGGATTTGTGATGCAGTCTGTGTTATCACCTTTTCATATATGCATGAAAAAAAATGTTAAGGAAAAAGCCAAGCAAAATAAAATGGTAGAGGCAACACTTTGGCCCAGCAAGTCTATGTCTAAGTGCTTATCCTAAAGAAATAACTGTAAATGCAAAAAAAAAAAAAAAAAATTATCTCAAAGATGTGGTTTATAAGAGCCAAAAATTAGCAAACAATTTCATTGCATATGCAACAAAAGAAATTGTTTAAATAAATTTTCTTACATCTATACAATGGAACATTATGCAGTAATCTAAAAAGACATGGTAGATTTTAAGGTGGTGACATGGAAAGAAAAATTGAAAAGCACAGACTATGGAACCACATCCAGATACAGTATAATCCTCACTATGTAATCTAGAGGTATGTTCTTAGACAAATTACAAAAGAGGGAGGATATATACCAAACTGCAAGCGGTTTATCTGTATTATCTGGCTTTTAAAAAAGTTTGTCTTCTTAGCATCCCAGTATACTATATGAATTTTTATAGTGATATCAGGCAATTATAAATAAAACATAGTTCACTTTCTCCATGTTAAAAAAAACATGATGTTGCATATGCTTAGGTTAATACCATAGGACCCAGCAACCCATTCCTAGGTATTTTCTTAAGAATCTAAGAACATTTATGTTGACACCAAAGCCAGTATGTGAAAATTCATCATAGCTCCATTCACCCAAAACTGGAGGCAACCCAGATGTCCTTCAACCAGTGTGTGATAAACAAGCTATGGTTCACCCACACAATGGAATGTTACTCAGCAACAAAAAGAAACACTATTGATGGATGCAATACCATGGATAAACTTCAGAGCACTGTGCTAAGTGAAAGGAGCCAGATCCAAAAGGCTACATACACTATAATTCCATTTGTTATATGGATATTCTGGAAGAGGCACACTTATAGGAAAACAAAACATCAGTGTTTGCCAGGGGCGGGGATGGTGGGAGAGATTTACTATAAAGGGGCACGGGGACGTTTTGGGGGTGAAGGAACTGTTCTGTATCTTGATTATGGTGATGATTACATGACTATGGGTTTGTCAAAACTCATAAACCTACTAACTAGAAACTACCCACTAGAAAGGATAAATTTTACAATATGTAAATTACACCTCAATAAAGAATCGCAAGCTATAAAAGGTGCTGCAGGTAATACCTTTGTAAATTAAAATACAGCAACAATGTGAAAGCTAAAGAAAACATACGTGATGTAAGAACGTTTAATGATATGGAAAAACTTTCACAGTGTCGTCAAATGAATATCCCTGTTGCATAACGCTATAATACACAAGTCTATGTACACAAAGGCACGCATACATGCACACACCGGTAGAAAGAAAAAAACTGCTGGATAAACACTGCAAATGGTGTCCACAGGTCTCTCTGAGTGGAGGCGTCACTGCTGGTCTTTATTTTCTTTTGCTCCCTGGGTTTGCTGTTTTCCCACGACGTTTCCCACATTGTGTTCCCGCTGGCGTCCATGGCTGGCTCGGGGAGGCTGGGAGGAGGTGGCCACTCCACAGCTGGGAAAACCGCAGCCTCCCGATGAACCCTGGCTGACAACCTGTCTATGTTTACTTTTCCTCCCTGGGCAGACAAGGCGGGAGACTGGAAGAAGGGGCCAGAAATTCAGACTCAGAAGCCCCCTCCAGAGGCCACAAGGCAGCCTGGCCCTCCCTGAACCAGTGGCTCCCACTCACTGGCCCCTTGTCTCTGCCTGGACTCCTGTGGGTGAGTGGAAGGCCAAGAGGGCGCCCTCTGGTGCCCACCAGATCGAGTTAATCACTTAACTGTGTGACCCTGGGCCAACTATTCAACTTCTCTGTGCCTCGGGTCCTCCTCCAAACGTGGGGATAAAGACAGTGCTTGCCTCGTGGAGATGTTGTGTGTGTATACATGCATACACACATGTGCAAAGAGCTTAGAGCCCCGCCTGGTACCATTTACACGCTCAGTAAATGCTTAGGAGGATTGTTGTGGCAACCCAGCAGCCTGATGTGTAAGCCTATGGTCCCATCTCAGGGCATGTGGGTGTCACAGGATCGTAGTCCTGGCGGCCCAAAAATAATGTTAAAATGACTCAGGGACTTCACTTGTGCTTCTGAGCTTCCTGAAGGAAATAGGCACAGTCTATAGAACTACTTCCTAACACTCCCCTTAGTTCAACTGTCCACTTCTTCAGCACAGTCCCTGCCATGTCTTTGGAGGTCCCCCTGCTCCAGACTTCCTTCATTCAGCCAATGGTGTTTATTGGGCACGTGCTATGTGCCAGCTGCTGTTTTAGGCTCTTAGAATAAATCAGAAAACAAAATAGATGAAAAATGCCCATTGTCCACATGTAGATTCTAGAGGTCTCCCCAGAGCAAAGCCCAGACCCTTGGCCTTCCTCTGACCTGCCCCTTTCTTCCTCGTTCTGCGCCCAGAACCCAAGAAAACCCTGCAGCCCTTCCTGGGAGGGCGGTGGAGAGGAAGGATCTGAGTTGGCCAAGCCAGGCTCTCCAGTAGGCAGGGCTCCAGCAGAGGCTGGGCACGTTCGGTCATCAGCAACTGTGTCCCATTACCTGTGGAAAGCGCCAGCCCTGGCCTGGCAAACAGTAGGAGTTCATCAAGGGTGCCTTCGTTGTACAGTGGTTGCCTTGTACCCAGTTGGATTGGCAGCAGCTTCGGGGCACGAGGAGTGACTGTTCACTCCTTGGAGAGCTTGCAGCACAGGGCAAGGTGCACAGTAGGCACTTGGTGGCCGGCAGGGCCCTCTGGGGCACCCTATAGAGGAATCTCTTGCTGAGTCCACGGAAGGCCCATGTCGGAATCCAGTAATGTGCTGGGGAGGCGAGCTGGGATTGGGTTGGAAGTGGCGCTCACCAGCCCAGTCAGGGTTCCTCTTAAAAAGCCAGCACAGTGCCTCACCTGTTTGTATGCCCTCCCCTGGCTCATCTCCCATCCATTAGTCCTCAAGGTACATCTGTGAGTCCCATGGGTCAGGTAGTGGGTACAATGGCAGGAGACGAGTGTGTGGACTTGTCTTCAGATCCACCTCTTAGTACCTGTGAGACGTCAGCAACCACCCTGACCCTCTGTGTCTTCATCTGTAAAATGCACGTATTAGTCTCTTCCTTGGTGGAAAGGATTAAATGAGATGCTGCATATGGAGACATGTGGGGGTTTTGTAAGTGCTCATGCTCCCTTTTCCCTCAGGAAGAAAGCCTCCACCTTCAGACTATCAGGCACTTGGGGACAGACCTCAGGATACTGCCTTTTGTGGCTCTTACCACCTATGGTCACCTCAGTTACTCAAGCCACACATGCATGTTCGTGTATCCCCCACGTATACACAGAAACTCACAGGCATTATATCAGCCAGGGTTCCTAGTTGCAAGCAACAGAAAGAAACCATGACTGACTTAAGCAGAAAAGGAATTTCTCAAAAGGATATTATTTGATTTATGGAATCACAGGAAATTTTCCAGGTCTCCACCTGGAAGGCAGAATGAACCTTATTAAAATTAGTTGAGATGTACACTTAGCATTGTGCCTTGCACAGAGTAAGTGCTCAGTAACTCTTATCCAATACTAATGAAAGCACATCTTATGGTGTGACACCTCTGCTCAAAATCCTTTCATAGATCCAATTGTCTAACATGGAAACCCTGGCCTCTGGGCTGTGGATACTTGCGATGGGGGAGGTGGTGCAGGCTCCAAATTCTTTCCAAGAGCGTGCAAACCCGCAGACCCATGAAGCATTGTCTGTAGGCCAGCACTCATCCTCCACCCCTCTGCCTGCTTCTCCGCTCTCCTAGTTCCTTCTCCCTCCTGTAGGAATTCAGCATTGCCACTCTGATTGGTTGGATTTTGGGGCATTGATTGAGCCTTGTTTTCTAGTGGGCAGGAGGCTCTGTGGCTTAAAGGCCACGGGCCCAGCTGCCAATGAATCAGTACTTTGTTTCCCCAGGTAGAGTGGGGAAGAGGGGGCAGGGAACTGGCAGGGCAAGTTTGGGGCCTTCTGCTCCAAGGTCCCTCTAGCCAAATTTTATCAATGTCATCCAACATGCCCCTGGCTCTCCATTTCAGATGTCTGTAAACTGGGGACTAAAAAATGCAAATGTGTTTAAAAGAGTTGCTAAAATTTCAGCGGCTTTTTCTCAGTGTTTTGCAAATCTAACTACTATCATGGGAGGACCTTTGTACTTGAAAAACTTGGAGTGTCACCCACCACCCAGAACAAGACCAAAGCATGGCTCTCAGTGCCTTTGCTTAAACAGTTCCCTCCACCTGGCCTGCCCTTCCCCCATGCCCCTCCTATGCCATCACAGATGCCAGCTCAGAGAGGGAGTTCCTGCTGGCTGCATGGTGTCCCACCTGGACTGTGACACCTGCCTCTTCACAGCCTCTAGCCTTCGGTGCTACCTACCTGATCCCACCCATACATCTAGCAGGCAGAGGGACTGGTCCAGAAATGCACACCTGGTCACCTTGATTGTACTGAGCCCTGCCCTGCAGCCAGTTACCTGGGTTTTCCACCAGGCATCCATTTAGCTTAGTCATCTTCCTCTGGGACACTGGCCGTTTGATGGTGACAGATTAGGCCCAGGTTTCTGAGAGTCAGGAATATGAAGCAACAGGCAAAGCAGGTTGAACCTCACTTCCTTCCCCTTCCACAGGAGGCTCCTGCCCTGGCTGACAGAGGAGGTGTGAGTCCTGCCATTTCCTGGCCTATAAGATGCCCCTCAAGGCTGGGCGTGGTGGCTCACACCTGCAATCCCAGCACTTTGGGAGGCCAAGGTGGGCGGATCACCTGAGGTCAGAAGTTTGAGACCAGCCTAACCAATATGGTAAAATCCCATCTCTACCAAAAAAAAAAAAAATTAGCCGGGTGTGGTGGTATGTGCCTGTAATCCTACTCAGGAGGCTAAGGTGGTAGAATAGCTTGAACCCGGGAGGCGGAGGTTGCAGTGAGCCAAGACTGCACCACTGCACTGCAGCCTGGGTGACAGAGGGAGACCCAGCCAAAAAAAAAAAAAAAATGCCCCTTAAGTTTCCCAGCCTGAATATATGCTGTCACCTGAGCCACTGAGAGGCTCCCCCATGGCTCCAGTTAGTGGGAGGAACTGGAGTCTCAAGAGAGAAGGAAAACGGAACCCAAACCTTTGCAGACACTCAGACCGGCTGCTAAGTGCCACGCACACATTTGATCACACTGACTCCTCTGGCAAGTCCTATAAGGCTGGTGTTACTATCCCATTTTACAGAGGAAGAAACTGAGGGTGGCTGAGGTAGCGACCCTTCCTAATGGGTGGAAGTGGGATTGAACTGAGCTGCACAGTCAGCATGTATCCCCTCGACAACGAGTAATAACTGCCCCCGTGGTCCAGGCCTGGCTTGCCAAAGGCTGTACATTTTGTGTGGAATAAACCTAAGCTGCCGTGGGAGGGAGGGAGTTCAGGGAAGGCTTCCTGGAGGACGCAGTGTTGCATGCCAGGCGGTGGGAAATGCATCTTCGAAGGCGTGGAGGTGTGACAAAGGTTCACGTGTTCAAGGTTATTTCTCTAAGTTAGTGTTTCTTGAGAGGTGGCATCACCTGGGAGCTTCCCAAGCCTTGTCGCCTATCCTGTACTTAGGATCAGGGTGTGGGGCTTGCTTTTGAAAATCCGCATGGTCACAAGCTCCTGGGAGCTTGTACTTCAATGTGGCAGTGCGAGAACCCGTGGGGTGGGATCTGGAGGGCCCTGTGAGCCTGTTAGGGAAGTGGGCCTTGCCCCGTGGTGATGCAGAGGGGGGCGGTGCTGGTGTCGGCTTCAGAGAGATCTCTTCGGCAGGTGTAGGTGACCAGCTTGGAGCCTGAGCACCTGAGACAAGGCCGGAGTGGCCATCTGGAGGCCAGACAGCAGGAATCAAGGTCTGGACTTCAGAGTGGTCGAGAGGATAGAAAGAACAGAGAAAGAGAGAAGGAGGGCTTGAGGAGGGCTTTCAGGTTCCAGCTTCATGGAGGAGGTGACGGGGAGCTGGGTTTGGAGAACTGGTGGAACCGAGCCAGCACTGCAGCCCTTACACCAGGGCAGGTCAGGACCCCACAAGCCCTATGCCTCAGGGTGCCCCACACCTTAGAGTGCCTTCCTCAGAACTTTCTAGGTCCCACCTGGCACCTAGAACCAGCAAGGGACAGCAGTGTCATTGGCGTGGGCACCCCAGGCCCGGAGTCAGGCCCCGATCTGCTGTCTCATTCCTCATTTATTCTCTAGGGAGCACTTTCCAGCCCTGGACCCTGAGGATGGACCTGCCAGGTGCCCTGAGAGCTCTGGGATTCATCCTACGAGGTGTCCTGGGGCCCTGGGGCCAGGTCCCAGTTTCAGGAGGGTGCCTGGAGAGCTGATCATCGCTGCTGGCCAGCGCGATGTTACTTTGGTGGAGTCATGTGAAATTGGGCTGCCAGAATGGTCCTCACATGCTGATTTGAGATGACCCCAAACATTTGCCTGCCCAGGGCTCTGCCTAAGGACAGCCGTGGCTGTAGCCACACTTGCTGCTGGTTGGTGCCTAGACACTGCCCTGAGATCCCTGGGTGCCTTCCTGCTACACCAGACGGGATGACTCAGGCGAGGTCCTTGGGGAGGCCACCCTGGCACCACTGACCAGTGACTCCCACCTGCTGGTCCCTCCTCATGTATTACACCTCCACCTTAATCAGACAGTCAACGTCAATATCCCCAGCAACAGGACCGTTGAATGTCACATGACCTGAAGCACTGAGAAGAACGCAGCATCCCTTCTGTGGTTTCCTTGCTCAAAGGGCATGACCTGAGTCCAGTCCCGAGGCAACACAGCCAAACCCAAACTGACAGACATTCTGCAAAGTAGCTGGGTTGCCCTCTCCAAAAATGTAAGTCATGAAAACACCGAGAAACGGTTCCAGCTTAAAAGAGACCAAAAGCTGGGCGCGGTGGCTCACGCCTGTAATCCCAACACTTTGGGAGGCAGAGGCAGGCAGATCATGAGGTCACGAGTTCCAGACCAGCCTGACCAACATGGTGAAACCCCATCTCTACCAAAAAGTACAAAAATTAGCCAGGCGTGGTGGCACATGCCTGTAATCTCAGTTACTCGGGAGGCTAAGGCAGGAGAATCGCTTGAACCCAGGAGGTGGGGGTTGCAGTGAGCCGAGATCACACCACTGTACTCCAGCCTGGACAGTAAGAGTAAAACTCCATCTGAAAAAAAAGAAAAAAAAAGAGACCAAGAGACATGAGAAGAAACTGCAACAGGAGGTCCTGGATTGGAACCTAGACCCACTCACATCATTATTGGTACCACTGGTGAAATGGGAATGGGGTCTGTGGATTAGCTGGTAATACTGTATTAATGTTTGTGCTGTGATAGGCCAGGCATGGTGGCTCACACCTGTAATCCCAGCACTTTGGAGGCTGAGGCAGGCAGATCACAAGGTCAAGAAATCGAGACCATCCTGGCCAACGTGGTGAAACGCTGTTTTTACTAAAAATACAAAAAGTAGCTGGGTGTGGTGGCACGTGCCTGTAATCCCAACTACTTGGGAGGCTGAGGCAGGAGAATCGCTTAAACCTGGGAGACAGAAATTGCAGTGAGCCGAGATCGCGCCACTACACTCCAGCCTGGTGACAGAGAGAGATTCTGTCTAAAAAAAAAAAAAAAATGTGCTCTTTGTGCTGTGATTATGCAGGAAAGTGTCCTTGTTTTTAGGAAACACAAACTAAAATATTATGCATGCATTTACACCCAAATAATTCTGAAAAGACATTTACATATATACATCTATACACATATATATTCATATATAGATACACCTGTAAAGATAAGTTTAGTAAAACTTTACTAACTTGGACAATCTGTGTGAGGTAAATATAGGAATTTTTTACTATTTTTGAAACTGTTCTGTAAGTTTGGTATTATTTCAAAATAAAAAATTGAAAGCAATTTTAGAGTCTTAACCACCACAAATGATAATAGACACGGCATAATTGAGCATCTCGTATGGACTCCAATGCGTTCGCTCGTTTAATCTAACATTAACAACACAAGGTAGATATTATTAATCCTGTTTTACAGAAAAGGAAAGAGTCTCAGAGTGGTTAGTGACTTTCCCGAGGTCACACAGCTTGAAAGCAACAGAGGCCAGAATTGAACCTAGGCCAAACTGGCCTAAGAACCCGTGCTCTCAATTTCTGAGAGGTGGAGAAATGGGCAAGTAAACAGATGACAATTACACAGGGTGGCAATTATGGAGACAGACTCTGAAGGGAGTCCAGAGAACCTGGAAGGCTCCATGTAGGAGGCGATATTTGAACTGGGCCTTGAAGCATGTATAGGAGTTTTCCAGTTATGGACAGAAAGTCTCCAGGTAGAAGAAATGGCATAGTCAATGGTGCAGAAGCTTGAAAGGATAGGTCCCTGGAGGTTGTTTTTCTGGGCCTCACCAATCTGTGGGTAAAAGTGTGGTCACATTAAGTGTCACCGGATTTTGTCATTGCCTACAAAATACCCCTCATGCTTCTCCAGGAGTCCACAATCCACAGTCACCTCCATCACATAACGCAACAGGAGGCGCCCCCTCCCCTCATTTTGAAGTCTTCAACATCTCTTTCCCATTTTTCTGCTTGTGTGGCCTTAGGCAAGTTGCATAACTTCTCTGAGCCTCAATGTTTTCATCTGTGAAATGGAGCCAATGATACCTACTTTCAGGGTTAGATAAGGATTAAAAGAGAATGTCAGCCAAGGGCTTGGCTTGGTTTCTGATATGGATTAAGCCCTTCAAAGATGGTGGCTGTTCTTATGAATGAGGACCCTAGGTCCCAGAAAGGGGCAAAGACTGGTCCAGGTTCACACAGCCAAGCAGAGGCAAAACCAAGGCTCCACCCCAGGCCCTGGTCCTCACTAACCTCCCCCTAACCCCAGCCCTCCAGTGTTCCCAGCTCGTGCTCTCCCCAGGATAAGGCAGGGCCAGGCAGCGAGCGGCTCTCTACCAGCTGCCGCCAGCAGCTCTCTCAGGGCTCAGCCGGTTGGGACTTGGCTAATTTCCTCATGTGGCCGAGGGGAAACAGCCCCAGGTATCGGAGGCCGTTGCATATTTGGCAACAGCCAACTGCCCCTAT